CCATACTTTAAAGGCTCTTGATCGTCACAGTACTAAAATCACTTTGTGGAAGAAAGCCCAAGTCTGTGTTTCACAAAGTGATCATGTCTCTATAACTGTCATAATTCCCAAATTCTTACATTGACTTAGATAATTTTGGTTGCACTAACATAATTTTGTGGAACGAGACTAAAAATCCCATACTTGCGATTGTTACAGCACCAAGTACAAAGACTGTTTCACTTCTACAGTTAAACATAAAACAAATGACAGTCAACAGCTCAACAGTTGCTTTGGCCCTTTTCTGGCTTGACCTATAACAGAGTATTACCAGGAAGACACAATTTTATGGATAACAACTTCTTATATACTGTAAAAAGCGACATTTCGGTATAGAAACGTCGCTTTTTACAGTATTAAAGAAGTTGTTATCCATAAAATTGTGTCTACCTTGTCATTCGCCAACTTCTAATTAATGCCCATCAAACAATTTATACAGTTTTTAGCAATGGTAATACATTCGAGATATCAGATAAAGCACACTTGGAAACTGAAACAATGTGACAATCTGTAAATAAGAATAAATGGATACCAGTCAGATCACAGGATATCTTGTGGAGTTTTGTTTCAACGACACATCAATTCATCATAAGAAAGTGCGGAACAAACCGAAAAGGAATATATTATATATTTATAAAGTTATAGCATTAGATATAGGTGACATGGGATGAAGAGGAACAACATTATAACTTGGGGTAAGGTCCTGACAGACCAAGGATCATAAGGGTTCCTTCATCTGGAATTTGAACTCAGAATCTACAGATCCTAGCACGACAAAGGGACATAACTCTGCACAGCACCTATAACTATTACTGTGATTATGCCCGAGCACAGTAACCTTTCAACAATTTAGTACCCCACTTGGCATTGTGCCACAGCTGGGCAGAGAGGAAAATAATATGGTTGAGGGACTGTATATTGTCATGTCACTAACATGTCAATAGATAATCGTGTAAGAGGCAACTATGCTTGTCGTAAGAGGCGACTAACAGGATCGGGTGGTCAGGCTCGCTGACTTGGTTGATGCATGTCATCAATCCTAATTGTGTGGATCGATACTCATGGTGTCAATCACTGGATTGTCTGGCCCAGACTCGATTATTTACAGACCGCCGTCATATAGCTGGAATATTGCTGAGTGCGACGTTAAACAAAAAAAAAAGAAAAGATAATCGACTTCTGTTTTCAAAAAACATACTTGTTTCATCAGAATGTTAATAAAAGATTTGACTTTTAAATATGAATATAGAGCCAACAGTGGTGAACTGACATATCCTCACAAGTTACTCTAATTAGTGGGTAAACGGAAAGTCGATTTACGCTTGGTCTGTGGATAATAATAATCATCATCATCATCATCATCATCATCATCATCATCATCATCATCATATATTTTCTTGTATATCACAACAATAACAAAAGATCAAAAGTGCAAATGTACTTATTTTTAAAAGGGGAGTGAACGTTATCATACAACATGCAGGATGAATGCAACTTATTTGCAAAAAGAATTTCAATTAATGGTTGTGTTATATTTGTTGAAAACACATCACAAAATGACTTAACAACACATAATCATGAGGTGTGCACTTTGCAGATGTGAATAATTGTGGACTGTTTTCACTTGTTCCATATACAAATGATGGGCAGGTACCACAGTAATTCTCATCCACAAAGGCCAAATGCTTCAGAACATGTGGGCTCCTGGGCAATGGAAGGACATCGGTAACATCTTGGAAATCACCCGATGCGTCCTCTGCCTGGGACACCCCTGGACATACATACCTACTATCGAATAAATAAATCCCTGTTGATAACATGATTAATGACAATAGCACAAATAATGTTAATAGCAGAATCAATGACAACAGCACAATTGATGACAAAATAGAGAACACTGATAGTGTGGGTGCCTGGTAGTCTAAATCTTCCCGAGGCAAGCGTGTTCACTAGCGTTTATCAAAGCCTAGTTTCTACCTTTGCCACTTCAAGGCCACTTTTCTTGGCTCGACCATGGCGTCACCTCGCGTAGATCACGGGTTGTGCCCCTTGTAATTAAAAGCGATATCCAATCAGATCACAGTTCTTATTTCGTATAGCTTCACAAAGATGGCGACTACCATTGGTGACAACCAAGTCGATCAGATAATAAAAACATTTGCGATTTCATCCCTGACACAAAAACATAGGCAATCATTGGGGGGCTTTAAAAGATGAAAAAGGCATATTCCAGTGGTAAATCACTTTCAAGCAAAAGTGTACATTCGTGGATGTTGAATTTGTGAAACGTTCTCTGATTGGATTATCCATATGTGCGATAGATAGTCCAATCATATTTAGCACAGGAAAGTGGGCTTGATGTGGCAAGGGTGGAAACAAGACTTTGATAAAAAGGCAAGTGGACGCTCTTGCCTCGGGAAGATGGGTAGTCTATGAACTGAACAACTGCTGTATAATGCTTACTGGAACCTTCACATTTTAAAGGTTAAAAAGTCCAAAATTGTGAAGCATAGTGAAGCTGCAGCATGCTTCATGTATACATGCTTCATAAAGCATGGATACAATTCCTTCATGTATTACTGAGTCTGAGAAACCCAGAACGGGAACACAAACATCAGTGGACAGTAGGGCTGTTACGATTCACTCGCGTATTCAGTGAATCGAACCGTATCCATTCATGAATTGAATTCGTTATGCGTGGTCACTAGAATCGAATATTTACGAATATGCAATCATGTGCATCTACATACCCTGTAGCTAAAAATATCCATAAGAACATATTATATGCAGAGATTTCTTTAAAGACAAGACAGTATTGTGGTCACTGGTCATTGTCGTATTTGAGCAGATACTAGTACCTGGATAAATACAGTATATAAATGTATAATATATTAATAATTATCCAACCATGTCAATTAATTTATGTTGTTATTTTTCACTGAATGTAATAAATTTAAGATGAACTGCTGACTTGTTATTGTATTCGTGAATAAATATTCGTATTTGTTACCCTATATTCATGATATGATTCGTATTCGCCTCATAGTGTATTCGTTGAAGCCCTAGTGGACAGACCAACACATTTCATCTTTTTTTGAGTATTGCATCATGACCTTGACTGTAATAAATACAATTTACAAAAATTGGCACAAATACATAGAATCAAGTATCAGCTTCTTACGAAATGCAACATTCATAAAAACTATTCTGTATCCATATAAATAACACAAAAAAAACACATGCACCCTTTATCATCAAGACTGGCTGTAGTCTACAGTATCAAATAGGTCATTCTTCATGAGGAAAATGAATGTTTCCATACTTTTAACAACTACTCTTGACTTTAACTCAATTAACTTTGAATTAAACACAAATTAAGGGATAAGTAGTAAATAAAGTTTACATTTTTCAGATTTGCGGCGTATTCATATTTAGTATTCGATGCATGGAAATGTATTTTGGACAAAAACATTACAACCAAGAAAAACAATGTAAATAAAAATTACAAAAACCTTACTGGCCACAAAAAGTAGAACTCTATTTCCGTGAGTACCCAAACAACCAAACACCACTTCTGGAATGTCGTGATACACCGGGTGAAGTCAAATGCTTCCATGACAATCAATCAACCTTACTGGGAGAATACAGAAAAAAAACCACACCAAAAATATAATATTTATATAACCATGCTACAGGCCATGTTTTCACAGATTTGGAAAAAATATATCAAGAAAACAATGCTTTGTCAATCTCTCAGTTTGTGGCTCACGTTTACAGTTGTTGTACAATAAGGTTATAATGCTTTCGGTGTTTACAAGAAATAACATCCCTGTCAGTGTATACAGACAGATCATTCTCCTATAGAACTAATATACACACATATAAACAGTGACACTGCCTGGTGAAGCAGGCGGACTATCAAATGCTCTTGAAAGAAATTATTTCTCCATCTTTGTCAAAGAAAATCAGATCATAATCAGCGTCAGTCTTCCTGTTATGGCTTGTTTTACAGATTATTTTGTGCAGTAGTCAAATAAAAATTATGTTTTTTGAAGTGATATTCAACAAATGAAGAAAAAGTGTGACATTTCAACACACAGCCTTCCATTTGTGGGAAATAACATGTTTTGAGTACTATATAAGACTTAACAAAATATTATTATCATACAAAACCATAACAAATCTGTGATGTGATATTGGGCAGTGACTCTCATGTCTTGCTTGACGAAAGACAATAAAATGGTCTCTGGTTATAGAAATGAAAAGGATTACCTCCCTTACTTTATCAAGTTACATTTTATTATCATTATTACGTTGTTATTACTAACTAACATACTCCACACGAAATATAAAATTATTTATTCCATGTTTGTAAAATGTTTGGTCAGTGGAGCCGTAAACCAAGTAATTAAGACAGACTGGTTTTCAAAACAAAGATGTTTGAGTTACCTAAGCTGTTTGTGTTTGAAAAATTCATTGAGATTCAGACAACACAGATAAAATCAAAGAAAAGGTTCCATGAACAAAATATCCTAGGAACTGAGAGTAAAATGTAAAAGTGTTCGATAAAAAACGATTTGAATAAGGATTGAGGATAAAACTAAAGAAACTATAGAGAATTAATATCAGCATGATCAAGTGATTACATTCCCTGATGCCTTCCACCAAACAACTTGCTCATGACTGTTGAACAAAATAGTTACCATATTCGACGTAATAAGCGCCCAGGGCACTCTCAAAATTAGAAATAGGGGGCTCTTATTAGAATATTATTTTGTCGAAAAAAAACAGAGTTGAGAGGTAAATTCCGTGGTTTATGCTGACAGCCTGAAATGTTTATATACGAGAGATATATTTTTCCAGAATTTAATTGCCCATAATTAAGGGTGCATATAACACACGAGTGCGTATTATAAGCGAATAAATAAGTATTGTGTACATTGATCAATTGGAAAGGGTGCTAATTGGGATTGTTCACGAGCCAATATATTAGCAAATATCGCCGTGGGCGCTTATTAGAGCGGGGCGCTTATTACGTCGAATACGGTAGTGACAATATTCATTTATACAACTCAAAAGAAGTTAAAGCTAATCCGACTTTTTTACATGACTGCAGTTAATCTGTTGAGGCAGGTGGATATTTCAATTGTGTGAATTATTTAACTTGTTTTGAGTACTATATAAGACTTAACAAAATATAATTATTATACAAAATCATAACAAATCCGTGATGTGATATTGGGCAGTGACTGTCATGTCTTGCTTGACGAAAGATAACAGATCTGATAAATGACAGGCTATGACCACACCAGAAATGAGAGAGCAAGAACACGATTATATAAAGTCATGGACAACAAACTGCTTCAAACAGTTTTTGTACAAGGAAACAATCAAATGTTACCATGGTGACATATTCTTCACATAATTCACTCTGAGTCATCAAGTCATTTAAGTGACAGTCGCCAGGTTCTCGCAACTGAACTTTTGATACTTGTGTCAAGGTCATTTTGAGTGAAGGACACTAGTCACTTTGAATCAAGGTCATCAGGTCGCTGGGTCAAGGCTACTCTTCAGTTAAAGGAGGTTGGGTCGACATTGATGACTTGATCCACAACAAGAGGTGCCCTGGACAAGGAGTCAAAGTTCCTCTGTTCATAATAATGAAACTGTATTAATATCTGAAACTAGTTAAGGGAAACAAAAGAGGTAGCAAGAAAGAATGTGTGTCAGTAAGCTTGATCTGAATAATATATCAGTTATATCACAGCAAGTCAGCTTAATGGTGGAGGAAACCTGAGAGCACAGAATGACAGACCAAAGATCTAAACATGTGCAAATCTGGGATTCAAATCCACGACCTGTGGATCCTGGAACAGCCAAGGGAAACAACCCAGTGAGTGAGTGAGTGAGTGAGTTGGATTTAACGCCGCTTTTAACAGTATTCCAGTTATATCACGGCGTGTCAGCTTAATGTGGGAGGTAAGCCCGAAGTGATGAGGGTCTCAGACGTTTACCACTTCGGTGAAACCCACGAGCACGGGTATGGTGCTGACAAACCTAGAAACATAATCGGGGCGAACTGGGATTCGAACCCACAATCATAGGTTTCTGGCGTGCCCAAGGGACGCAACTCTGCACAGCGAATCGCGGCGCCTTAGACGACTGGGCCACCCGTGCCCCCGACACAACCCAGACACAAGGGACAGAACATCCACAACAGAAATAAAGTATACAGAATTTTCACCTGTGTGTCTTTTGATATGAAAATATCAACATTTATGACCTACTAGGGCAAACATAAAAATCCTATGCGCCCAAGGGTCTTTTCCCTAAATGTGACAACCGTGTATTGTTTCCGTCACCTGGTCTGCATTGTTGACGTCATTCGAATCTTCTTGTGACGTGAGGTCGGAATGACATCACACAAGAAACTACGCCATAGCTGAAGATTGTTGACATCATTCGACAAATTGTGGTTCTGCTGCTGCTGCTGACGTGCTGTCCTTATAGGTAAACACTACAATTTGTCTGTGTATGTAGACATCTTCTTCGGTAATATATAGGACATTATATTTGTGTTCATGTCATACTATGTTTACGACACTCGTGTGTACCAAAATTCTGGTATTTAAACACGAGTGTCGTAAGCATAGTATGATATGAACACTCATAAAGTATCTTCTTTGAATCAATAAAAGTATAAAACTCTTGCTTCCTAGGGTGTTTTTTTCAACAACACGTTTTCATATATTTGATATCTGAGGACACAAGGTTCTACTTATCATCCAATGTTATTCTTCCAGCTTTTTCAGCTTGCAAACCTTATAATTGACAGTGTCCTCTGTCCAAAACATACAGCCAAAAGCTTCAGAGGCTGAGAGATTAGTGATGTCATTTGATTCTGACATCATGGTAACCAATGACAACCGAAGTGATATCTCCTGTGGAAGACAGTTTCAGTTGATAATAGAAATGTCTGTCATATAATATAAACACATTGAATTAGTTGCTCGATAATAAGGTCAAGGATACAGCGACATCAAGAAAGATAACTCCCAGACTCCCAACAATCCACGGCAGGTGTCGGATCAGGAATATACCATCCACTGAGTGCACTATGATGGCCAAGCCATAAGCCAGATTACCAAATACAGCCAGCACAAACATCACCTTAGACAAGCCTTCCGTCGACTTCAAATTGTACTGAAACAGAATATCAGTGAGTGAGTTGGGATTTAACACTGCTTTAAACAGCATTACAGTTTCAACACCGTATGTCAGCATCACTAAGGTCAAAACATGAGTTAAAGGGCAAGTTCACACGGAAATGAAACTATTTTTCTTGTACTTTTTCCACATTAAAAGTGTTAACCTAGAAGTGTCAAAGACAAAAATATAAAAATATCACAATTAATTAACATATTTTTCGCATTAAAACGATTTATATTTTTCACATTTACCAAGTGTTCTATTTCCACAACAAAAACACCATGGCTTATGCCCCTTGCAATATGACGTCATTGGTGCCAATTGATAAACATTATGACGTCATCATGCTTTGTTAGAGCCGCTTCACGTGGTGTAGGTCCAGGTGTGTGATTCTAGCGTCTCAGATGCCAGCCAGCATAGTGTTATGCTGAGTCACCACTGCGCCGGAGTGTGTCGTAGGCCATGGTGTTTTACCGCAAACTGGTACTTGATATCTTTTGCGTTGAGAATAGACAGGGACCCAGTTGAATTGGCACCAATTACGTCATAATCTAAGGGGGATAACTCAGGCCTGTTTAGCTCGAAAAACGAAGGCCTCATAACGGCATATCATTTTCACACTATTGTGAGCTTCCTACGTTCACTGTGAAAAAAATGAGTGTATATTTTCAAACACAGATACTAATTAATTCTAAAATTACGTTTTGTTTAGAAAAAGAAAGAAAGTGATTTTTGCGTGTACACTTCCCCTTTAAGCCCACCAGTATAATGATGACAGACCAAGGATCATAATGAGGGTTGGGATTCAAACCCACAACAAGCTGATCCTGAAGCTAAGGGAAGCAACTCTGCAGAGCCATCTGTGTCCACAATATACTGATGCTCAACAGATGCCGAAGGCAACATAAAACTCATCTAGATCAGCTGTTTTAATCACAAATATTTGGTTATAACTTTAGGCCATTTTATATGACACATATCAATATATGAATACATTAATCTGACCACTAAACCTTTTCCGCCACTTAAATATCTTATAAATACAAAACAGCACAATTGTCATTGTTACCTTTTGTCTTGGATCATAATTTGAATGTTGCATATTCAATGGAAACAGATTGCAAAAGTTTTATTTTCTGTGCTTGACATTAAATGCAGAATTCAAGGCTTTTTTGTTAAGGGCTTTCAAGACAAGGCATCCAATTTTAGGCCTTTTAAGGTCTGCTTTATTCCAGCTGCCTGAAAGTACTGTAAGTCTTCAAATTAATGTGTCTCTGAATTAATGCGACTGCTGATCTCTAGCCCAAAATGGGACTCCATATATAAATCCTGTTCCCAACAATAGTGGAATTTTTTAAAAGACTTCCATGAGTTTTACCGGAGACGTATTTTATCAAACCTTAATCTAACCAAACAGCAAAGAGCAGAGCTGCGTACAACTTCCCTAAATAAAATCACAGGATGTTGATTACATAATTTCTTGTGAGTGTTTGAAAGACTAATTATTATGTACTTGTTACAAGTGCTGCCTAACATAGAGCTACGATGATGTGGAATACATAGTTCTTTTTATCAAAGCTGGTATATCCGCTATCCAAAGTGTCTTCATTCAATATTGTCCACATAGATTTCGGCAAAATCAGTGTGAACTGATCAGCAGATTGCACCAACTCAAAGTTATTTACAGCAGCCACTATCAGGAACCTGATATTGATGCCTTGAATGAATCTTAGATGACAGAGAATGGATACCTTCATCACAAATGCCATATTTTGGCAAGTTAAAAGTCATATTTCTTGTATTTCGACTATCATATATCAACATGATGTTTTCGCAAATGAAAGCCACGGGAAGCCTCAACAGTGATGAGTCAAATTGTTCCATACATAAATAATATCCGGTAATAGAAATCAGCTGTTCCAAAGTGCTGTGCTTATTGTTATTACTATTTTAAATATATTCAGTAAAAGCTGCAACTAGAAATAACAAGAAAGTGTAAAGCTTATTCAATTTTAAATGAATAATTCGCCTTCAAGAATCAAAGGGAACTTAGTTTTGATCCGAGAAACATCTCAGCTTACAAAAGATGGATTCGACAGGCTTTATACTCACATTTCTGATTATCTGAGCAAGTCTTGACCCGATATACAACAGAGAGGAGACCACACCAATGGCATACCCAGTCTCATCTACTGTGTTCTGAAATAAAGAATCAACAGTTGCCATGGAAACAGATGCAGACAAATATCAACAAATATCTTAATCAGATTTTGTAAAATGCTTTACCAGTATTTTCACCTTTAAAAACTTGAGTGAACAAGAAGATATGTTTTCAATATACAGCCATTTTACCAATAAATTTCATGGCACTAAATCATATTAAGAAGCAAATAGCTTTTTATATGAGCTATTTATGATGATTTCAAATCTCTGGCCAATCAGATTTGAGTAATTTTAATTCAGGGTGGAATGCTGTTTAATGCTCCATTCAGCAATATTCCAGCTACATCACACTTGTCAGGCAAACCACTCACTTGAAACATGGACAACAATCCACGTCATGAAGGCACGATGACACACAGTCAGTCAAGTCATGGAGTTTGGACCAGTTGTCACCCAGGCCTCACACATTAAAAATGTTGTTGTGTTAAACCAAACTCCAACATGGGAGGGTGAGTGAGTGAGTGAGTGAGTGAGTGAGTGAGTGAGTATGGTTTTACGCCGCTTTTAGCAATATTCCAGCAATATCACGGCGGGGGACACCAGAAATGGGCTTCACACATTGTACCCATGTCGGGAATCAACCCGGGTCTTCGGCGTGACGAGCGAACGCTTTAACCACTAGGCTACCCGACCGCCCCTCACATGGGATGGTGAATCGAGGTAGCATTACTAATCAACAGAAGAAACTAACATTTTTATAACTAACATATAGCAAAACCCTCAATGATGGATACCTTAACTACCGGGCAGTTGGGCAAGGACTATAGGACAAGTTCCAAATTCTAACTCTGCTAATCAAAGAATACTAAAAATACTTTTATTTTCCCCAAAGCCTTTCTAACCCAGAATCCCCATTGGGGCCTGAAAACTAAAACTTTGATAATCACAGAGACACTTACATAAGAACATTAAAACGTTGATACTTCACAGTAAAACTTACATAAAACACCTTCATTCCAACATTTGTAGCAAGCAGGTTTCGGCCTGATGCATGATGGGTAACTGCGAAGTTCGAGATGTAGTTGCCTGTGGTTACGGAGTGAGGTAGGATGTTTTTGAAGAAGGCAAGTGAGCTGAACATGAACAGCCCTGATACACACAACACTGGCTGTACAAGGCTTTCCCCGTCTTGTTTACCTGCAGATCACAGATGAGGTTTCACACTAGTCTAGTATCATTAGAAGATGGTAATAATAAACATGGATATAATGTACAGTTATACTCATTGCTGGAAAATTCAATCATAACGGATGCAATGTTGGAATTTGGATTATAACTCACTTTCAACTTTGTCACAAGTTCCAACTGCATGGAATTCTGTCCACATATATATGTCATGGACGTACAAAAATATTGTAATGCAAATTGGCAGACATAACAGATGGATACTCATCCTGTCATATGAGTAATAAAACTGCAAAATCATTGTTTGTTGTCTCCGTTACCATCACTGTCATGTCAGTTGGCCAGTATGTCAGACGCCATTTAGTAAGTCAACATTGTGTCAGTCACAAAAATGTCAGTCACCATTGTGTCAGTCACACTGTGTCAGTCACCATTGTGTCAGTCATTGTGTCAGTCACACTGTGTCAGTCACACTGTGTCAGTCATTGTGTCAGCCACACTGTGTTAGTCACCATTGTGTCAATCACACTGTGTCAGTCACACTGTGTCAGTCATTGTGTCAGTCACCATTGTGTCAGTCACACTGTGTCAGTCACCATTGTGTCAGTCACACTGTGTCAGTCACCATTGTGTCAGTCACACTGTGTCAGTCACCATTGTGTCAGTCTCACTGTGTCAGTCATTGTGTCAGTCACACTGTGTCAGTCACCATTGTGTCAGTCACACTGTGTCAGTCACCATTGTTTCAGTCAACATGGCATCAAGCACAAATGTGAAGGCACCACTGTGTCAGTCATCATTGCTTTCATGAGTGTCAGTCACCAGTGTGTCAGTCACACTGTGTCAGTCACCATTGTGTAAGTCATTGTGTCAGTCACCATTGTGTCAGTCACACTGTGTCAGTCATTGTGTCAGTCACACTGTGTCAGTCACCATTGTGGCAGTCATCATGGCATCAAGCACAGTTACCATTGTGTAAGTCACCATTTAGTAAGTCAACACTGTGTCAGTCACCATTCCTTTAGTCAGTGACAGTCACCACTGTCAGTCACCATTGTGTCAGTCATCATTGTGTCAGTCACCATTGTGTACGTCACACTGTGTCAGTCATCATTGTGAAAGTCTACATTGTGTCAGTCATCATTGTGTCAGTCGTCATTGTGTATGTCACACTGTGTCAACCATCATCGTGTCAGTCTACATTGTGTCAGTCATCATTGTGTCAGTCACCATTGTGTACGTCACACTGTGTCAGTCATCATTGTGAAAGTCTACATTGTGTCAGTCATCATTGTGTCCACCATCATTGTGTCCACCATCATTGTGTCAGTCATCATTGTGTCAGTCATCATTGTGTCAGTCTACATTGTGTCCACCATCATTGTGTCAGTCATCATTGTGAAAGTCTACATTGTGTCAGTCATCATTGTGTCAGTCATCATTGTGTCCACCATCATTGTGTCAGTCATCATTGTGTCAGTCATCATTGTGTCAGTCTACATTGTGTCAGTCTACATTGTGTACGTCACAATTGTGTCAGTCATCATTGTGTCAGTCATCATTGTGTCAGTCATCATTGTGTCAGTCATCATTGTGTCCACCATCATTATGACAGTCATCACTGTGTCAGTCATCATTGTGTTAGTCATCATTGTGTCAGTCATCATTGTGTCAGTCACCATTTTGTCCACCATCATTGTGTCAGTCATCATTGTGTCAGTCATCATTGTGTCAGTCATCACTGTGTCAGTCATCATTGTGTCAGTCATCATTGTGTCCACCATCATTATGTCAGTCATCACTGTGTCAGTCATCATTGTGTTAGTCATCATTGTGTCAGTCATCATTGTGTCAGTCATCACTGTGTCAGTCATCACTGTGTCAATCATTGTGTCAATCATTGTCAGTCATCATTGTGTCCACCATCATTATGTCAGTCATCACTGTGTCAGTCATCATTGTGTCAGTCATCATTGTGTCCACCATCATTGTGTCAGTCATCATTGTGTCAGTCATCATTGTGTCAGTCATCACTGTGTCCACCATCATTGTGTCAGTCATCATTGGGTCCACCATCATTGTGTCAGTCATCATTGTGTCAGTCATCATTGTGTCAGTCACCATTGTGTCAGTCATCATTGTGTCCACCATCATTGTGTCATTCATCATTGTGTCAGTCATCATTGTGTCAGTCACCATTGTGTCAGTCTACATTGTGTCAGTCACCATTGTGTAAGTCTACATTGTGTCAGTCATCATTGTGTCAGTCACCATTGTGTCAGTCTACACTGTGTCAGTCTACATTGTGTCAGTCATCACTGTGTCAGTCATCATTGTGTCAGTCACCATTGTGTACGTCACACTGTGTCAGTCATCATTGTGAAAGTCTACATTGTGTCAGTCATCATTGTGTCAGTCACCATTGTGTACGTCATACTGTGTCAGTCATCATTGTGAAAGTCTACATTGTGTCAGTCACCATTGTGTACGTCATACTGTGTCAGTCATCATTGTGAAAGTCTACATTGTGTCAGTCATCATTGTGTCAGTCATCATTGTGTCCACCATCATTGTGTCAGTCATCATTGTGTCAGTCATCATTGTGTCAGTCATCATTGTGTCAGTCATCATTGTGTCAGTCATCATTATGTCAGTCATCATTGTGTCCACCATCATTGTGTCAGTCTACATTGTGTCAGTCATCATTATTGGAATGTAAAATGCAATTCTAAAAATCACACTTTCTTACAGGTGAGTAAATGTTGATCAACATGACAACCACATGTTATTGTTACAGCTGCAGATGAATGACAAACCTTTGCAAAAATGGATATTGATGAGGACTAGTGATCCTGAAGAAGGATTCTACATGATGAGAAGAGTGCTGAGTTATCAGCATTATGTCCTGTCTTTGATACAGGTTGTCTCAGCTTACACCAGACTTACCCGTAAGTTTCCGCTTGTGGCAAAGATAGGCAACGTACTGCATGAGTAAAACCACATCTGCAGCGACGTAGTATATAGCAACATACACCTGCAAAATAAACAACAAATAAATCCACATCGCTTTGAACAATTGTCAATGTCAGCTCAGACCATCTTCCTGAGGCAAGAGAGTTAACTGACTCTAAAAGTCCAGTTTGCACCCTTGCCGAACTAGGCTGGAATTCCTGGGCTTGATCATAGCGCCACCAGTGGCTATTACGAGTCATGTCCTTTCTATGCCTCTCCTATTGACCAATCAGATTCAACCTCTCGTATCACATGCATTTGCTTCAAACAAAACGGTGGCGCCCAGTCAAGACGATCTGATCGATAATCAAGATCTATATTGTGATAAAACGGGTCTTACATCGCAAAGTGCATCAAATCACCTGAGCACCTTGAAAAGCACATGCAAAGATTTAGGAAATATCTGTTGACAACGAGTTAGCGGTGCACATGCTTTGCAAATCCTGCAGTCGACCGAAATCTACATGACACCTTACGAACCGGATTTCGATTTCGGTGCACGATTTGGATTGGACTATGCATAAACTCGTTAGTCCAGCCAAAATGTAACTCTAGTTCTGCAAGGGTGGAAACTGGACTTTAATAGTCAGTTAACTCACTTGCCTCGGGAAGATGGCTCAGACAGAAGTGCCAGCTTGATATCTTGCATCACAGTGAGCAATATTTCAGCCATGTCAAACCCAAGTCAATACATCACTGGGTTTGTATACGCTATGTTCCTTCATCACTCATGTATAACGTACAACTAGTTTGCTATGTAGTATTCTAATTCAGTCAACTTATGAAATTAGGCTGTTTATAACTGACGGAAATCAAATGCACTTTCGCCTGATATTGAAGCGAAGTGTAGAGCAGCTGGTTGCAAGACGATGAGACATGTTGCTCGGAAAATATTACCTTTGATGCGTAATAATAGGAGCATTCATTGATGTGAGCACAAGCAGGTTTACCTCTTTGCTGGAACCAATGATTTGTTCTGGATTAAAATAGCAACTGCACTACAAAGCACATACTGGTATGTATTGATGGGCATTGGAGGAACATAGTGTATACAAGCCTGTGTTGTATTGACAAAGTTGTCCATTTAGTAGTGAGTGAGTGAGTGAGTTGGGTTTAACGCCCGCTTTTAACAGTATTCCAGTTATATCACAGCGTGTCAGCTTAATGTGGAAGGAAAGCCCTAAGTGATGCAGGCCTCAGACGTTTACCACTTCGGTGAAACCCACGAGCACGGGTATGGTGCTGACAAACCTAGAAACATAATCGGGGCGAACCTGGATTGGAACCCACAATCATAGGTTTCTGGCGTGTCCAAGGGACGCAACTCTGCACAGCGAATCGTGGCGCCTTAGACGACTGGGCCACCCATACCCCCTGTCCATTTAGTAAGTCCTGTTCTTGCTCTGTACTTCTCAGACACTAGTGACACATGAACATACTGACAATGTCTCATGGCAGCCTGTACATTATCAAGTCTAGGCCAGGGGTCTGTTCCCCAAAGAAATTTCACTGTTACGACTGTTGTAAATCTATGCTAAAGTAAGGGAGTTATGGTCATCTTAGTGCTAAGATCGCTTCGTGGAACCCTACAACATGGGTATTGTGCTGTTAAAAACAATCTACATACAAGGGTGTGTATCCTTCCTTTTGATCTGTGAATAATAACAATTGATTTATACTGAGCTATATAATTAAACAATCACCTGATTCATGTCACGCCACAGTATGTATTCCTACACCTGGAATGTTTATCAATCTCGTCATTTTTGTCTGTTTTGATACATACAACTGTTTTTGGTTAAACTATTGTAGATAAAACATGTTTTACGTGTCAAATTTAATTATAAGCATTGACTGTGGGTTTTTTTTCGGTTCATTGAGGTATGAATCGAAAAACCGATGTGTAACTTTTGTAAGAATCCGCTACGTGGATTCATACAGTTTGCACATCGCTTTTTGGATTCATACCTCAATGAACCGAACAAAATACACAGTTAATCCTTAATTGATTTATACTGAGCCATATTTCTATAGTAAGGTGCTCAACGGCGCTGACAAACCATACAGAATGTACACAAAAGAGACAGGATTATGTCAGGGTGTAGTCACCTGAATCTGCAGCTGGTGGGTAAGGATGGAGCCCACTAGGTTCGTGACATCACCTGCAAACCACTGGGCCAATAGAAAAAAGGACACGCCAGCCACACCATTCAGGTTCCGACAGTTCTTCACCATCTGACTGCAAGGGAGATAAACCACATTACTACTGGTCTACCTCTGTAACTGTCCAAGTGGCGGAACACATTCCTCCTCCTTAGGCAAATGCAAACAATATTTATCATCCAAAACTGTTTTGTTTGTTTGTTTGTTTGTTGTTTAATGCCGCACTCAGCAATATTCCAGCTATATGACGGCGGTCTGTAAAATAATCGAGTCTGGACCAGACAATCCAGTGATTGACATCATGAGCATCGATCCACGTAATTGGGATCGATGACATGTATCAACCAAGTCAGCGAGACTGACCACCCGATCCCGTTAGTCACCTTGTACGACAAGCATAGTCGCCTTTTATGGCAAGTATGGGTTGCTGAAGACCTATTCTACCCTGGAATCTTCACGGGTCTCATCCAAAACTGGCTCCCACAAGAGATATCGCTTGGGTGAGATCAAGCGATATCTACAGTGTAGATATCGCTGCAATGAAATTGCATCACAATGCTTTGCAGACCATTGTGATGTCATCGGTAACCATGACGTCCCAATCAAATGACATCACTAATGGCTCTGCTACTAAAGCTATTTGCCGTACCTTTTACACTGAAGACACTAATTATATCTGTCCACAAACTGGAAAGGTTGGAAGAATGATGTTGGATGATAAATAAAATCTCACCCGAGTGTCTTTTGAGATCAAATATACCAACACTCGTTGATAAAAGTTGAAAAACTCGTCGGCAAGCCTCAGTTTTTTTCAATTTTATCAACTCGTGTTTATATATTTGATATCAAAAGACACTCGGGTGAGATTCTATATATATATACTAAAAAAAGCACAAATCGTGAGATCATTCCTAATTCATGCGCCTGACCAACAACAAAGTCTTCCCTGTATGAGTGTTTGACTGATTAACAACACTCTGTAGTATCAAATCTGTTTCATGATTAAATTAATGAGTTACAAAAGTATGGGTAGGTTACTCTGTCCCTTGAAACCCTATGACCCTGGTGCGCTCGAGTGTCCTCACTGCTACCCCATGACCCGGTGACCTCACTGCTACCCCATGACCCAGTGTCCTCACTGCTACCCCATGACCCGGTGACCTCACTGCTACCCCATGACCCGATGACCTCACTGCTACCCCAAGACCCGGTGACCTCACTGCTACCCCATGACCAGGTGACCTCACTGCTACCCCATGACCCGGTGACCTCACTGCTACCCCATGACCCGGTGACCTCACTGCTACCCCATGACCCGGTATCCTTAATGGTAACCCAAGACCCGGTAGGGCTCACTGCTACCCCATGACCCAGGTGTCCTCACTGCTACCCCATGACCCGGTGACCTCACTGCTACCCCATGACCCGGTGTCCTCACTGCTACCCCATGACCCGGTGTCCTCACTGCTACCCCATGACCCGGTGTCCTCACTGCTACCCCATGACCCGGTGTCCTCACTGCTACCCCATGACCTGGTGACGTCACTGCTACCCCATGACCCGGTGTCCTCACTGCTACCCCATGACCCGGTGACCTCACTGCTACCCCATGACCCGGTGACCTCACTGCTACCCCATGACCCGGTGATGTTACTGCTACCCCATGACCCGGTGACCACACTGCTACCCCAAGACCCGGTGACCTCACTGCTACCCCATGACCCGGTGACGTCACTGCTACCCCATGACCTGGTGACCACACTGCTACCCCAAGACCCGGTGACCTCACTGCTACCCCATGACCCGGTGACCACACTGCTACCCCATGACCCCGTGACCTCACTGCTACCCCATGACCCGGTGTCCTCACTGCTACCCTATGACCCGGTGACCACACTGCTACCCCAAGACCCGGTGACCTCACTGCTACCCCATGACCCGGTGACCTCACTGCTACCCAATGACCCGGTGACCTCACTGCTACCCCATGACCAGGTCTCCTTACTGGTACCCCAAGACCCGGTAGGGCTCACTGCTACCCCATGACCCAGGTGACCTCACTGCTACCCCATGACCCGGTGACCTCACTGCTACCCCATGACCCGGTGTCCTCACTGCTACCCCATGACCCGGTGACCACACTGCTACCCCAAGACCCGGTGACCTCACTGCTACCCCATGACCAGGTGACCTCACTGCTACCCCATGACCCGGTGACCTCACTGCTACCCCATGACCTGGTGACCTCACTGCTACCCCATGACCTGGTGACCTCACTGCTACCCCATGACCTGGTGACCTCACTGCTACCCCATGACCAGGTGACCTCACTGCTACCCTATGACCTGGTGACCTCACAGCTGCCCCATGACCCGGTGACCTCACTGCTGCCCCATGACCTGGTGACCTCACTGCTACCCCATAACCCGGTGACCTCACTGTTACCTCATGACCATGTTGGGCTCACTGCTATCCCATGACCCAGGTGTCCTCACTGCTACCCCATGACCCGGTGTCCTCACTGCTACCTCATGACCCTGTTGGGCTCACTGCTATCCCTTGACCCGGTGTCCTCACTGCTACCCCATAACCCGGTGACCTCACTGCTACCCCATGACCCTGTTGGGCTCACTGCTATCCCTTGACCCAGGTGTCCTCACTGCTACCCCATAACCCGGCTGTCCTCCCATGACCCAGCTGTCCTCACTGCCATCCTATGACCCAGGTGTCCTCCCATGACCCAGCTGTCCTCACTGCCATCCTATGACCCAGGTGTCCTCCCATGACCCAGGTGTCCTCCCATGACCTGGTGTCCTCCCATGACACTGGTGTCCTCCTATGACCCAGGTGTCCTCCTATGACCCAGGTGTCCTCCCATGACCTGGTGTCCTCCCATGACACTGGTGTCCTCCTATGACCCAGGTGTCCCCCCATGACACTGGTGTCCTCCCATGACCCAGGTGTCCTCCCATGACCCAGGTGTCCTCCCATGACCCAGGTGTCCTCCCATGACCTGGTGTCCTCCCATGACACTGGTGTCCTCCCATGACCCAGGTGTCCTCCCATGACCCAGGTGTCCTCCTATGACCCAGGTGTCCTCCCATGACCTGGTGTCCTCCCATGACACTGGTGTCCTCCTATGACCCAGGTGTCCTCCCATGACCTGGTGTCCTCCTATGACCCAGGTGTCCTCCTATGACCCAGGTGTCCTCCCATGACCCAGGTGTCCTCCCATGACCAAGGTGTCCTCCCATGACCCAGGTGTCCTCCCATGACCCAGGTGTCCTCCCATGACACTGGTGTCCTCCCATGGCACTAGTGTCCTCCCATGACCCAGGTGTCCTCCCATGACCCAGGTGTCCTCCTATGCCCCAGGTGTCCTCCCATGACCCAGGTGTCCTCCTATGACCCAGGTGTCCTCCCATGACCCTGGTGTCCTCCCATGACCCTGGTGTCCTCCCATGACCCTGGTGTCCTCCCATGACACTGGTGTCCTCCCATGACCCAGGTGTCCTCCCATGACACTGGTGTCCTCCTATGACCCAGGTGTCCCCCCATGACACTGGTGTCCTCCCATGACCCAGGTGTCCTCCCATGACCCAGGTGTCCTCCCATGACCCAGGTGTCCTCCCATGACCTGGTGTCCTCCCATGACACTGGTGTCCTCCCATGACCCAGGTGTCCTCCCATGACCCAGGTGTCCTCCTATGACCCAGGTGTCCTCCCATGACCTGGTGTCCTCCCATGACACTGGTGTCCTCCTATGACCCAGGTGTCCTCCCATGACCTGGTGTCCTCCTATGACCCAGGTGTCCTCCTATGACCCAGGTGTCCTCCCATGACCCAGGTGTCCTCCCATGACCAAGGTGTCCTCCCATGACCCAGGTGTCCTCCCATGACCCAGGTGTCCTCCCATGACACTGGTGTCCTCCCATGGCACTAGTGTCCTCCCATGACCCAGGTGTCCTCCCATGACCCAGGTGTCCTCCTATGCCCCAGGTGTCCTCCCATGACCCAGGTGTCCTCCTATGACCCAGGTGTCCTCCCATGACCCTGGTGTCCTCCCATGACCCTGGTGTCCTCCCATGACCCTGGTGTCCTCCCATGACACTGGTGTCCTCCCATGACCCAGGTGTCCTCCCATGACACTGGTGTCCTCCCATGACCCTGGTGTCGTTACTCCTACACCTTGACCCTGGTGCCCTTACTGACCCCAGTGTCCTCACTGTAGTCCCAGACGAATGCTGTTGTCAAATTATCAAAATACTGCGGTGAAATTACCAAAATTCTGCAGTGAAGTTTTCCGTTTAAAAACATAACCATTTACCCTACAAAAATAAATGCAAACTAATTTTTCAAAAACTTGAATGCAAATTGTGAAACGAAATATTCCACAAAGTGTAATGATAAACAGATATCATTGGATAGACATATCATTGGATAAGACATAAAATTATGCAAATAAAAGTGCATAGTGTTACTGATGTTTATTAATGGTTTAATGTAAACATACGTTACTGAATGTAGTCATAGTCAAATGTTAATACAACAAGAACGTTTAAAAAGGAGACATATTTATTTCAAATTTAGTTTTATTGTAGGATTCATATTTTGTGAGTTTGAATCCCTTGATAAAGGTTTGGGAATTTTTCAAGAGCAAAATTTCATAGAAAAGCTTGAAAATAAATAAAACAAGGGCAAAAGTGAGCGTGGCTCACTAATACCCCAGACCTGCCTAGTTTGTCACTAGTTTCAAATTAAATAATGGATAGGGTTAGGGTTTGAAAAAATCATTAAAAAAATGGAAAACTAATAAAAACATTTTTTTTTCTTTTAACTGCACCCCTCCATATGACACAGATCATATGTACTACATTTGAGATGAATCCACTGAATAGTTTAAGAGAAATCGTGCGGACAAAGTTTTCGGACGGACGGACCCTTGGTATAACTGTAACCCCACAGACATTCTACCCTCATCACCACTTTAACCCCACATTCTACCCTCATCTCCACTGTAACCCAACATACCCTCATCCCCACAGACATTCTTCTTCCACCCCGATGTAATCCCACTGGTTCTCACTAGGTTCACAATACATCCTCTACCCACGTCCCCACTGGTACCCCCCAGACATTAAACCCACACCCCTATGTAATCCCACTGGTTCTCACTGGGTTCACAATACATCCTCTACCCACGTCCCCACTGGTACCCCCCAGACATTAAACCCACACCCCCATGTAATCCCACTGGTTCTCACTAGGTTCACAACACATCCTCTACCCACGTCCCCACTGGTACCCCCCAGACATTAAACCCACACCCCCATGTAATCCCACTGGTTCTCACTAGGTTCACAACACATCCTCTACCCACGTCCCCACTGGTACCCCCCAGACATTAAACCCACACACCCATGTAATCCCACTGGTTCTCACTAGGTTCACAACACATCCTCTACCCACGTCCCCACTGGTACCCCACAGACATTAAACCCACACACCCATGTAATCCCACTGGTTCTCACTAGGTTCACAACACATCCTCTACCAACGTCCCCACTGGTACCCCCCAGACATTAAACCCACACACCCCTGTAATCCCACTGGTTCTCACTGGGTTCACAACACATTCTCTACCCTCATCCCCACTAATACCCCTGCCCCTTGTGTTCCTGGAGGGAGTTCTTAGGGCTCCTGATAATGATGCTGTGACTGACGTCACTTACGGTATTCCCACAATCATCCACAGCAACATGGAGAGCAGGCCCAGGACGGCCGACGCCTGGCCCCTCCAGTCATGCACACAGTCCGCCATGAGCACCCACACCCACTGGACACCATCGCTGCAGTTGGTGAAGTTGTTGCTGCTGCTGCCTTCATAGTTGGACAGTGAGTGGATGATCCACCCATACTGAGGTGGCATTTTTCAGTCTGAAAAGTTACACACAATAATAAATTAGTTTAGTGATGTGTAGAATTTATTTTGTCAAATATGACACATATCTATACCAGTGGTTGGGAAAGCCATGCACCATGCCCAATTCAAATATAATTTTTCAAAACGGTGAATCAAAAAAGACAGTAAAGAGTCCTGCATACGCAAAAATACCTGCACCACCACGTTTACATTAACTGACAAATCACAATTCAATGTCATCGTCATAACCACTGAATCAGCGATTTTCCGCAGATCACAAGCTCTGGTATAATCAGCCTGGATCTGGGATCAAATCCCACAATGAGTTTATGTAATAAAGCCACATGATTAAAGAGTAAACAAAAATATTACCCCTACAAAATAAAAAAACTGAAACAACAAAACTGCATGAATATTTAATAAGCCACAGCAAGATAAAACAAGTAAAAAACATAAAATATGGCCCAAAATGACATCTTTAAAATGCTGAATGATCAAACTTCTGAGGAAAGTTCTGAGATACCATCATTTAAATCATACGTAAAACTAGAGAAGAGGTTTCAGATATATTGAAAGTTATGTGAAGATCCAAGGTCATACCATGTCAAATATCATATAAATACATGCAAAATATATGTAAAGTAAACTGAAAAGGACCTGTGATTTCAGTTCATCATAACCATTTTATATCTTTTACAGATCGCTGTCATATAGCTGGAATATTGCTGAGTGCGGCGTTAAACAACAAACAACAAACAAGCAACAAGCGATAAATAACAAAAGTTTGCACTGCATCTGTACCATGTTTATTCACGGGATACCTGCAATTTCTTTCTTTGATTTCTTGCAAGCATTGACAGTAGAGATATTTGAAACTTAACGTCGATGTCTAAACCTTTCTGCTTGCGAGTTTGTATGCTATCGTAATTTTATCAATACCGAAATTTCCTCACTCTTGTCATCGCATCTTTATAGACAGACCATACCTACTTCAACAGCTTAATCACTGTTTTACAATTGTTAATTGGGGGTGTAAATTGAAGACAAGGCGTCGGGGATTAATCCTGTTAATCACTTGCCTTCAGTTGTTCCATAAACTTTGAACAGCCGCACTGGCTGCGGATGTTTTGATTGGCGACAAGTGAGAAGCTCAGAGATTAACGGTGAGGTGAGGTGAAATGGGGTTTAACGTTGCATCCAAGATTATTGCACTTATATAGCAAAGTGCATGCACGTGTGTGTGTGGCTGCTTGTACTTGTCCGGACTGATGCCGATTTATAGTGCTAGCTCACTGGGATACCATGCCGCAGTTTAACATGAATACCCCACTCAGACACAGTATACTGACTCCGAGCCGACCAGTCCTTGTTTTAGCCCCTTAATGCCGAGCGCCAGACAGGGTAACAACAAGTACCATCTTTTAACGTCTTTCGGTATGACGCGGTCGGGGATCGAATCCCGGACCTTCCGCTCTCCAGGCGGACGCTCTACCACTAGACCACCTAGGCGGTCTCAGAGATTAACAGTTCGTTATAAACATTAACATTGTCGTTAACATGAGTACACGCGGGACCACAAAGTGAGTTTGCTATATCTATTATTTGTCAATTTTACATGACAAAATGTACAGCAAACGGCCAGAACCAAACAAACACTTTGTTGTATCCATCGGTTTGTTTTAATGCAGTTTACAGAAGGTGTTTTGTGTAGACTAAAAACAACAGTCCATCAAATCTCACACCACCTTCAAATTTACATTACATAATAAAAAATTGTTACGCTGAGACTTGAATAATACATTCCAGCGAGATGACAGCGGCCTGTAAATAATCTGAACCAGACAATGCAGTGATTGATATCAAAATTTATGATCCATGCCTTCAGGGTACACCTAATCAACCATGTCACGGAGTCTGACCACATGATAGATCGGGTCACCTACCTAAGACCAGCACCGCTTGCTGGACCAACTCTAACATAGAATGCCCACAGGGCAAGGAATGCATAATAAGTATGACTACTTAAAAGAACAGCAAGTTTCTTAAAAAAGGTAAAAACTACACTATAATTAGATGAACAAATGAATTATTATGTACCACAGTTAGAATATATTTCATTTCAATTTCAAGAATTGCTCACCATGTGCACAGACAAAAAAAAGAACAAAAACTTCATGTCTGACACACAGAGTTAGGCAAATCAGCCACGGGTTTTTCAAATACCTGCTCAACCAAGCAGCCCCTTGTAAGCTCAAAATCTTCTTTTGTTTCATTTTGAATGAGAAAGGTGGGCTTATATCTCAACAGTGGGCTTATCATCAGCTTAGTGAATGTCACTATGATTGCTGAATTGTTTATTAACCTGTCAATATAAGACATGTATTTTGATAATTAGCAAGCATTGATATACTAGCATATAAAAGTTAATTCCCCATTACCTACACTTCTGGTTTCTGACAATAACAGGGTTTTACCTTGACTTACAAAACTGGGGGTCCAGGCGACCCCCAATAATTACTTCAAGGGTCCTTGCAGGCTATATGAGGGTCCTGTAAAGTAACGTAATGGTGAAGTGCAATGTATGTTCAGATAATTACTTTAGAGCCTGGAATGAATCAAGGATCAAGAGACAGTGGTCATGATTGATGGATGAAATAACAGACATCCATAACTGTTCTTGATCTGCTGTCGGTAAAATGATTATTATTGTGCGTCCAATCTCTACATTTGTGCATCGTGTAAAACCATGCAATAAATTAATAAGTGCTTATAAAACACATGAATCAACACATATTCATAAGCCACCAAAATTCACACTAGTAGGCTAGCCCAAGACTCCTAAATTTGGCCGAGGACAAATAAATGATTGCTCTCCTAATTGCCTAGTAGCATTTGAGGGCTGTGAATCGGAACCAGTTCTCAATGCTTTAATTCTGAAATATAAACATGGTTCAGTATTGTTCAAGCAGGACTGGCTCTGAACTCTGCGGACAAGCAAAATATTATTTGAAAAACATCAACGGATGTCTGAGGCTGTTCAATAGACTGACAATATTTCAGGGTGGAAATATTGGGTCTGGAAGGCATTGATACAAAGCCTGATGTGCAAATCACAAAATCAAAAGTATCTCTGTCTGCCACACATTGGACCCAGTCTCATTAAAATCAGATCTTTTACTCTCATATGATACCTCTCTGCATGAAGGTCTGAAGATGACCTTTACCCAAAAACTTTGGTGTTGCCTGCATACAAACATGCATGATGAAATTCCAAAGACCATAAGGATTTTTTTTTTATATTTTTTTTTTTATTGTTCCTGGTAAAAGTACATCATGTTTGGATAAGATTCAAAATACATGACTAGGGTTTTTTAAGAAAGTACATATCATTCACACACATCCATACGCACATTCACACTCACTAGAAGCTTTAGTACTTATGAAGACAGATTGCAGGATATATATTTAGTAAAGTTTTGGAATAGCAAATGTTTATATTTTCAAAAGGTTTTCATAGGGAGCCCATTTCGTATAGAATTCAGTCTGTTTGGCTTTATTAAAGTGTCTATATTTTTCTAGTTGGTAATAATATTTAACCTCATTTTGGAAATGTGTAATGGTTGGTTGGTTATTTTTCATTTTGCATCTATAAATGTGAAATTTGGCCAATAAGAGTATCAGATCAAAAATATCATCAGTGTGGAAATGTTTTGAAAAGCCAAAAAGAATTAGGTCTGAAGTAAGATTTATCTTGCCAGTATGTGGACACTTGGATTCAATCCATTGTGAAAATCTTTTCCAGAAATTTTTGCTTAACCTACAGTCCCAAAACAGATGTTGGATAGATTCTGGCTCGGCATTACAGAAAGTACATAGACAAAGACCATAAGGATAACAACACTGTGTGATTACCCAATATATCCCCTTCATTTTGCATGCTGTAATTCTTTACCAGCTGTTTGCAGAGTTTTATTTACTGATCAAATGTAAGCATAGCATACATTTTTGTGTGTTGTTTAATGCCACACTCAGCAATATTCCAGCTATATGATGGCAGACTGTAAATAATCAAGTCTGGACAGACATTCCAGTGATTGACATCATGAGCATCGATCCATGCAACTGGAATACTGAGCCATGCATCAACCAAGTCAACTAGCCTGATCACCCAATCCCGTGAGTCACCTCTTACGACAAGAATAGTCGCCTTTTACAAGCAGAGGTTTATAAAGACCTGTTATAACCCGGATCATCACAGGTATATCACACACACATGAACTCTACTCAATGACTGCTGCATGAAAGGGTGCTACATTGCCCTTATAGACATAGGTGAGGTGAGGTGAAATTGGGTTTAACGTCGCGTCCAAGATTATTGCACTTATATAGCGACGTGCATGTACGTGTGTGTGTTTGTGTGGCTGCTTGTACTAGTCCGGACTGATGCCGATTTATAGTGCTAGCTCACTGAGATACCATGCCGCAGTTTAACATGAATACCCAACTCAGACACAGTATACAGACTCCGAGCCGACCAGTCCTTGTTTTAGCCCCTTAATGCCGAGCGCCAGACAGGGTAACAACAAGTACCATCTTTTAACGTCTTTTGGTATGACGCGGCCGGGGATCGAACCCCGGACCTTCCGCTCTCCGGGCGGACGCTCTACCTCAAGACCACGGAGGCGGTTCCTTATAGACATAGACAATTTTGATACTTAAAGAGTTCAAAACTTGACCAATAGTCAGTAAAACATGACAGAAGTCAAAATATAACTTCACACTCTAATATAAGGATTTTCAAATCCTGTATGTTCACATTTATTAAATTTATTAATAAAAATAGATTACAAAACGAGTCCCCATCAGGTACCATTTATATAAAAAGTATATTGCAAAATGTATTTCACAAGTGGATCGATATGTTTTGAAATACACAAGTTGTACAAACAGTATATAACGGGGACGAGGGTAGTTGCTCACTTGAACATTATCAAAATTCAATGTTAAGAAAAGACCTTGTTGGTATAAGGGTGGCATATGAATAGACTCGGGGCGGTCGGGTAGCCTAGTGGTTAAAGCGTTCGCTCGTCACGCCAAAGACCCGGGTTCGATTCCTGACATGGGTACAATGTGTGAAGCCATATTCTGGTGTGCCCCCGCCGTGATATTGCTGGAATATTGCTAAAAGCGGCGTAAAACCATACTCACTCACTCACTATGAATACACTCAGAGCTCATGATTTGACCAAAGATTGTTCTTTAAGGTGCAACCTGGTAACAAAGTGCCTAGCTTTCTGGGAGATAGATTGTAATATACATTAATACATCACCATGTTAGAAACATCCGCAATCCACAGAAATATAGCTTCCAATTTGGTTCAGTTTAAGTGAGGGGAGCCTGTGGAATGATCAACTCATTGAGTCTTTGTAATATCATACTAGCAGGCAGATGGTTTAACTGGTTCAAATTACCATAACCTACACCATCTGTTTAATTTTAGCACACAAAGATTTGCTACACAAGATGAAGCCATTTCTAACTGTTGCCCACTAGGTCCAAGGGGCGCAACTATCATTTACAACATAGGTTCAATGTAAGTAGATGTGACGATCAATCCTGTGATGATCTTTCGACAAAACACTTTTTGTATCATATGTATGATGTATGATGACTAAACACACTGATTCTTCCATGATTTTAGAAACCTGCATTCTGATTTGTCTGCCAGTAGTACCCATGACTTTGATGATGACTTCATCACCGCAAAATGAAATATGGGAACACCTTTAGAATACAGTACCACAACTTCTCGTGAGGCCGATCTCTGCCATAGGTCACATGTCTCAAAGATAAGCAACCAGTTTTTGTGAGAATCCGTCGGAAGCGAACCCGCGACCTTCGGATTGTAAGCCCAACAGCTAACCGACTGAGCTACGTCCACACTTTGAAACTAAGTGCAAATTTTCCTAGTCATGCCTAACTGAGCGAAAAGGGTCGAATAGGTGACGGACACGTACGAAGGTTACGTGGTAGGCATGGTGTCTCGTGACTTTAGTCTACGGACTCTTACGAATGATCCTGATGCCAATTGGCAAACTCGTCCCATTCCGTAACCTACCTAGATTCCGTAAGATACCAAGTGGTGAGCCGATTTTGCGTGAACTGAAAACGGCTCCAGGCGTCAGACGTCGAACTCGCGAGTATGCATGAATGATATGGTATTTAATAATTCATCGGGTGATTTTTGTGACAGAAAAGTGTGGTGGGGAACACTGTAAGGATGATGTGAATAGCAGTAAGAAACGAGGGAGGCAAGAACATGGCTAGTGACAACACAATGGTGAGTTGGCTTTTGAATCAGTACTGAAAAAATGTAGCAGGTGAAAGTGGCTTGTGTGAATGTTCCAGGACAGTTTCCAGTAGCCAAATTATCGTAAAGGGGATCCCAGGGCTAAGGATAGAGTTCGGGGTAACCTACCCTAACACTGGCGACATTTGTATGTGTTCAGCGCCACTATAATATCCCTAATAAACTGCATTCTTGTGCATAATAATGAAAATTTATGAAATTAATGAAAAATAATATATGTATATTAGTTCCCATGTATAATCATTTTGGCCACTTGAATTACGAGAAATACGAAATAAAAAATGCATAAAAAATAAAAGTGCTTTCGTAAACTAGCGCTTGTTCTATATTTAGTAAACAAATATTCAAAACTCTCAACACCGCTGGGCGTATTCAATGTCATTGCTTGTAGAGATGATAGATCACTGGGAGGAGCTTATGCCCACTCAATGACCCCTGACGTCACATGGCATTGTTTCGCTGGTGTGACTGGCAACAAAATACTACAAATTACGTCATAGGGTATTGTCACAGGTTGGAAAAGTTTGTGGTACTGTATTCTAAAGGTATCCATCGGAAGCGAACCCGCGACCTTAGGATTGTCTAACACAGGTACTGAAAGCACTTCTTTCACAAACCAATCAAGTAGGCAATTTCAAATAACTTTACTAATAAACATTAAGAATGACATGACTCGTAATGGGATGTCCTCAGATCTTTCTTTTGCGAGAAGTAAGATCTGATTTTAATGAGATTGACTATTCAACATATGAACAATATTAGACAGATATTAGCCCGGTCACTCATCACTTCTGGTATAACTTGAATAAGGAAAGCGTTCACATTTTTTACTTTGTAATGGAAAAGAACCAACAGTGTCTTTTTCAACAAAGAGGTTTCTGACCTGTAAAGTTTTCAAATTCAAAATCTCACACAGGTACTGAATCTGAATTCAAAACGCCTAAACTGAAAACAGAGAAAGTTTATCTCGTATAAACTAAATAAATGCCATTTGATCTGATCATTAAAACAAATTCCCCAGTTTGACAAAGTTTGAAACAAGACAAACTATACCTAGACAACAAATTATCGTGGATAACGCCAGGGTTGGAGACATCAATAACAACCAACGGTCGATGATGAAATTCCAAAATATTCTCTAGATTCTACCCCTTATTGGATACATCATAACCTAATCACGATATATCTACAATTGAATGAGGTCAGCCAAAAGTGGGTTCCACTTGATTCTTTCTTAACAGCGTACTGAACGTTTGTTCCCACACTTAGGATGACAATCTCATCTCGTGAAGAATGTAACAGAGAGCCGTAATACCTTTGTTGGTTGGATATTTAATCCTGCCATTATGCGGAAACACTCGAAAACAGTCGGCGATCACGAGTTCATTCATCTAAATCACAGAAACAACTGTCAACACGACTAAGATAAGGTTAATTTGCCTTCGATCGCTCGATCTTGCGCTTTTAATGACCAGCATTTGTAACATTAGTTATCTAATGTAGGGACTATTCATGAGAAAAAAATATACCTGACGGAGGAGTGAGATAAACAAACAAAATATGTGTTGTCTCGGAGTCAACTTTCAACCACCGCCATGACGTGAACTTTGACCTCCTTGTTGAACGACACACTGCGCACTTCCGGAAGTTGCGAAGCCATCTCCTCGCAGGTAATGTATTGTAGCCATATTGAGAGGTTTGTTTGGAAATCGAACGCCATCGCTACTTGTATATTGTAAAATTTCATTTGGTATCGATATTGATTCAATCTTATAGAATCGATTTACCGAATGGATCATTCTTTTTCTCACCAACAGGAGATAGAGCTTGGAAACAAGCTTCGAAACGGTCCTTACCCAAGGACTCTACTTCCCTTTTCACGTTGAAATGAATGTTCAGAAAGGGAAACCATCCGTATCGCCACCAGTACAGATAGCAACACAGCCCCAACACCTAGGTATTGCGTATCCTTTCAAAACAGAAGTATTTTTCATATCACTTGTGTCTCGGTGGAATACTTACGAACATATTTCAATCTCCAAGTGCAAACAGATGCCGGCTTATCAGCATGCATGGCATAGACGGTGATTTAGGCGCACAGCAACGTGTTTCAATACATTTAATCACATGTCGGCAAGTATTGCCTAATGTTATCGCGCACTTTGATTCTTGACAAATAGATATATGTCATCATTCATATTTGTTTGTTTGGATTACAAACAAACTTGCGTTATTTTACCGTCTCCAGACTGTCCCAAACGAGGAAGCTGCCTTCCAAGTAGGCGGGGTCAGGAGCTGTGAGAATGTGGCCGTCGTTTAAACCCATGTTCTCGCCCAGTGGGTTCAATACCATTCATGTTGAAATATATGTTATCAACAGATAACAAATGTTTGTTTTCATAGTCCATTTGCATCGTTATTGAAATACATATTGTTGCAAGCTGTGATCATTCAACATGACTTCATTGAGTGGTGCTTGTTCAAACTTGATAGGGTGAAGTATTTGTTGTAATAGGCCTTGTGAGATAAAAGTGTAGAATATGTATTAATAAGGCTATGTACCAACTTATGTTTTGACATTTGGTGTGCTCATTTTGTTGGGTGCAGTTGTTCCAATTTTATTATCTTGTCATTCCTTTGTACATTTTATTACCCATTTGACTTGTCAACTGATACTATGACCATGTTGTGAAAAAGTGATTGAGGTTTTGTTCATTAGACGTATTAAATGATCACGTAATGGCTTACAATAGTCCCTTTCAGCTCCCAGAGCATTTTATATGATCCAAAACATGACCCCCATATCCTATTCTCAGCTCCTTCAGCCTGCACTTGTTGTCTTCTCAGTTCTAAAATTATGAAGCTTCCTGCATAATACTCGAGGCTTCCCTTTCATAATTATTTTTATTGAACCTAATACATTACTTTATTTCAGGACTATATGTCAAGGCTTGACCGGGGCTGTCATTCATTGTTATAGCTGTACATTTCATACAAATATCTTGATGTAACTATTATTATTTTATTTTTGTTAAATTGTATTATTTCTCTGTGTAGTCTTACAAAATAGTTTACAGATTTGTTGAAAATAAAATGTGAAATCAAAAAGTAACTGTAGAGAGGTTCCAGTGACACAGATAAGTTGCATATTTCCGTACAATACCCCATCCCCATCCCCATCCCACCCCCTACTATTCAAAACCCAATTTCTTTCATTTAACTTGTGTACAGAAACACGTGCCATAAATAAAAAACTCCATTGTTTGAAAACAGCACACGTAAATACCCATGAAGCTTTTTCAGCATGTGTACAACAGAGCTAATTTCCAAAACACAATAACGAGCTAATTTACTTTCCATTGCTTACTCATTTTGGGAAAACCCCAATAGAGTGATGAACAGATGAGAAAAAATATTGGTTACCCAATGAAAAATGTAATGACCTAATTCAAAGGCGCCACGATTCGATGTACAGAGTTGCATGAATTGGGCACGCCAGAAACCCACGCCGTGGTATAACTGGAATACTGTTGAAAGCGGCGTTAAACCCAACTCACTCACTCAAATAGAAACCTTTGAGTAAAAACTCCATTGCTCAAAAATAGATCTGGAGCTCTGTTAGTTTCCCATGATGTCTGTAGCTAGTACTTGTTTACATCAACACAAAAGGTCATGCTCACTACTGTAATCATGTATTATTTGATCATGGAAATATACATTTCATTACAAATATACATAGACTTAATTTTAATCACATCTACTGTGCTGTGAGTTTTTAACAGAAAGACATATATTTGTTAATAGAGAAACATGGTTAATAAAGTCAACAATTTACACTCCATCAATTAAAGATAAATTGTAGCCATTGTAATTACATGGACGGTGATTGTTAGCTATTTCATTCATGAAAGGTTAGTGTGACATTTATGTGTGGACCAGCAGCTGTGAAAAGGTCAACGTCTCCTCCACATTTCATCCAAATTGGTTGTCTGATGAATTATGCGATATATGCTCTGTTACTATAGGGTTTTCACCAGCTGCTGATATTGTTGGGTCATGCTGGATCCCAATCCAGTCAAATTGAAATGTTATTTCGCGTAAACCATCTAAGAAATAAATCACACGGGAAGACACCATTGGTCTTTTAAAAACCTGTTAGTCAACAGCTATGTTTTATTTGCATTTTGTGTATTTCTAAAAAAAACACCTATATTTAATTTAATTTTGGAAACAATTTTCATGTGTTTAAAATGGAATGGTCCACTATTCGGAGATGCTACTTTGTACAAGCCTGAGTTAATTTGCCTACTCATAAAGAAGTACTTTGGGAAATACCAGTAAAATGTTTTTCTGGCCTCATTTTAAAAAATGTGAATCATTAAAAAAGGCTATAAAAATAGCATTTATGAAAATAACAAATCTGCCTTATCGAGCCTATCCAAAATGACAGTTTTGGCCTAAAAAGGTACCTAAAATGATCAGCAAAGAAAGTATTCATGCATTATTATGCATGTATGAAACAGCTTATAGCTTGAGGTAATTCCCTAACACCTGTCCCGAGGTGAATACATTATTGTGTAGTTACTTGCACATATTTCTGTAATCCGTTTCAGACTTCCCTCATTGGAATTAGAATATATCTGAACTTATTGTTTTCATTAGACATTGTTTTCCTGTACAATTGTCGATAGGACTTCTTGTGACTGAAACACATGTACTGCATACAACAGGAAGGTAGATCAATTGTAATTTGGTATTTCAATAGAAACAGCCTGTGTAACATTGTCTTGTTCTAACAGGCAAACACAATTTCCTAGCATTTTCAACAGTACTTTAATGTGGAAAGGAAGATATACCGGCTTTTTAGTGGATGTCCTTATATTTTATCACTTTTTGGACAAGCATTAAAATGTTTCAGTTTGAGTTGAATCTTTTCATGGGTAATTGCAGTTGTCATCTTATTTTTGCCATATTATATGTGCAAACTACATATTCATTGTTAGAAATGGACCCCAGAAGCCTATGCTTGTCGTACATACAGTGTTCTACCAAGGCAGTGGCCTCACATGATTTTTGCATTATTTTCTTGATTGGCACAAAATATTTACGCTCGATGGGACATTGGGCGCTTTCATGTAAGTGGGTTGCCGACCGTTTCAAAAAATTTCACATCATTACTCGGATAACTGCTTCAATAATGAATGGAAATGTCCTGATTTTAGTTGACTTAGTTTCTCAATTTATCGTATTATCATTTCATTTACTACCTTTATTTGGCTGAAAGTCTCAAATAGTCCAATCAGAATCAAGCTTGCTCATTTTTGGAAGTATAGTTTTCATAGTTCTGATAATGCCACAGATGTGTCTGCTTTGAATGACCACAGAATCGCCAACCACAAGTTAACGTTTGGGATACAGAGAATGTTAAGCATGGTGCACCTGACAGTGGACATGGGGACAGAATGAGGAAAGATTAAAAAAAACTGAGAAAGGTATAAAGTTTCAATGAACCTGGCTTCATGACCTCATATGGTTGCAGCATAACTCGGAAAGAAATACTACATGTCAGCTTTGTATAAATCATGGGAATTCTAATTGAGTGACAAAGCTAAATTCAAAACCAGTACCTTGAGACATGCTAACTGCAGTGATAAAAAATATACTATTGAGGCTAAAGGTGTGACATCGGATGTTGCTGCTGCTGCAATACGTTACATCTGAGAAAGATGCCATGTGAAACATTCTGTGTATCAGTAACATTACTTGAAGTGATTCTGCATCAATAGCCTGTAGGGGGCACGGGTGGCCCAGTCGTCTAAGGCGACGTGTTTCGCTGTGCAGAGTTGCGTCCCTTGGGCACGCCAGAAACCTATGATTGTGGGTTCGAATCCCAGTTCGTCCTTATTATGTTTCTAGGTTTGTCAGCACCATACCCGTGCTCGTGGGTTTCACCGAAGTGGTAAACGTCTGAGGCCTGCATCACTTAGGGCTTTCCTCCCACATTAAGCTGACACGCCGTGATATAACTGGAATACTGTTAAAAGCGGCGTTAAACCCAATTCACCGACTCCCTCAATAGCCTGTATCATTGCATGAGTGTGGCCCCATTATGTTTGAAGATGACTCCGTGTATTTTTGCTGAAGGGGTCCTAATTCCCACTTGTACAGTTTCTGGGCAGAACACTACACATAGGAACTAAATTGATCATCAGATGGCCACACTTCGTTTGTGTGTCGTCACTTGAGGTGGCATGTGTCTCATCACTAGTTCGTCACATCGTGATTTAATTGACAGGCCAACATATGAATGTTTAATTTGAAGTTTACGCAATATAATACCGAACCATTGAATGAGAGCCTCTGAGGCCGGCCATGTGTGACCGCTTTACTGAAGTTTATTTCCTGCTTTTTTTCTCACAAAACAGTAATTAAATATCCATGCTGTAACCCATCCTAGTGAACGAAACGAAGAAATGCATAGCCCAACTTTTTATTCAATCCAGGCTGTGCCATGATTTGACTTCTGTATCCATTTGACACACCTGTATAATCACCTTTCAATGATTGGCCACTTGATCAATGATGATTAACACTTGTCTGGTCTGGACTCATTAATTACAGACAGCCATCAAAGCTGGAATATTGCTGAGTGTGGCGTTAAACAACAGACACTGAGATTTTGATGAAATATTGAACCTGTAGACACATGAAGATCCGGAGTAAAATAGGTTTTCAGCAACCCATGCTTGCCGTAAGAGGCGACTAACGGGATTGGGTGGTTAGGTTTGCTAACTAGGTTGATGTCTCATTGTATCCCAATTGTGTGGATTGATGCTCATGATGGTCCAGACTTGTTTATTTACAGTCTGCTGTCATATACCTGGAATATTGCTGAGTGCAGCGTTAAAGAACAAACAAATTCTGTTACATAATTAACTTCCAGGATAAAATTGTTTGTGGACTAATTTGAGTTAGGTCTACTGATGCTGAGTCATGGATGTACTCCTATCCACAACTAATTCTTCAATATGCCCAAATGACCTGTCATTTTGTTCAGGATAAATTCATTGATTACGTCACAAATATCAGACACTTTGGGCATGTGGATGAATGATGTAAGGTTTTTGACTGACCCAACACTTGTAATGATATTTCATCATGAAGAAAATTATTTCATGGTTAAATTTAGATAAGACCAAATTTTGTGAACCCATGTGAATGACATGGTACAAATATTTCACTGAGTTTGCATTCCATTTTACACATTGTATGTACGCTTGTATTGTTTTGTATCGCCGCGCGCACCTTTACGAAACTCTCGTCTTGACACTGTAATAATACACAGAATAGCCTGAATCAATACACACTAATTAAGGATGAATCATGTGTGTTTGGATAGGATAAGATCAATTAAAAGATCATGCACAAAAAAATCAACTTTTGAATAGTGATTTCTTTTTCTGTGGCGCAAGTGCTGGTTCTATATAATTATGTCGGCCAACCCAGAGTTTAAACAAAAACTTTGTTGGTTGTGGTTACCGTTAACATTTTGATGATCACACCTTATTAAACAAATAGTAAATAATACTAAATGTGTATATATTTATTTTGAACTGTGATACCTTGCTTGCCAGTAAACTATTCATGACCAGATTACCTCAAGTAGGATTTTGCAGGCAGTGTGTCTGCTTATCAGTGTGGGAGCAGTCCACATGCATGATATTCTAATTAGTTGCTCTATAAGGTATTTTAGTATAACTTGGAGTGTCTTTCAGTGTAGTAAAGTTTGGAAAGGAATATCTCGAGGATAAGCTCCTAAGGCACAGTATGAGTTTAATGCACAGGATTTAATCATTGCATCTATGGGATTGTGTTTAAGTAAAAACGCTGAAGGTTAGTAGCTCTTGGAATCCACATGAATGTTAGTTCACGTTGAAAACCTGGAAACTGTTCAGTTATCTGTTGAACATTGAAGTCGCATTGTTCCATCTGTATGAAGTCAATCTGTAATTGAAAATAATTTACCAAACAAAGCGATGACCATCTTCCCGAGTCCAGTTTCCACCCTTGCCGAACTAGGCTGGTATTATGGAGTTACATTTTGGCTGGAGTAACGAGTGAAATCAATGAAATCGAAATCCGGTTTGTAAACTGTCGTGCAGATTACGGTCGACTGCAGGATTTGTGCAAACTGTATGTGCCAACTGTATGAGAAGTTGCTGGAGACAAAGTCTAACCTGTCCAGCATTGACCATAGTACATTGCATTGATCCAAACAATGTCTCTACAACTTTCTTCCGTGTGATATATTGTGATCCAAATTCCAAAATGGGCAGAATATATATTTTGTGTTCTGCTTTGACATCAGCAAAGTATCAATGATATATATGTAAAAATCATTATGCATCTGCATATCACAATTGCTCAAGTTCAGAACTGAAGAGTGGCTATGTCTATTTGTCATGCTTTACATGTCTCCACCATGCCTGTGCATATGGGTTTCATTTTAGTGACAAACAATGACCACTTTCATATGGGTTTCCTGCTGACAACCATTCACATGCCTTTTCCAGGCTTCAGTCTGGACAATTGTTGATCATTTCATCATCAACAATTCCTTTGTGAACATTCCAAATAACAGATCAAATCAGTCAATTTTTATGGATTCTTGATGGATATGGCTGTCACTATCTATGTCTTACTAGTTACCATTTTATGTTTGGCAAATGTGGACCATGTTGTTTCCTTAACCAGATCTCAGCTCCGCCCCCCCTACAGGACACACCCCTCCACTGCTGAGTAAGTTTACAATACTTGTGTACATGATGTAGAGTGCCTGACACTGAAAGAGTTAAGCACTTTCTAAATGCAGTGCATGTAAAAAAAGTAGATGAGGAACTAAAATGGATGGAATTCTGAGGTAAACAGATTTGAACATTTAATACAAGACATGAATTTGTATTAGTAAAGTGAAGGAAAAGGTACAAGCAATATTGTGTAATGTTAATTTCTCTCATTCCTTAATTTATTTCTGTTTGTTCTTTCTAGGAACAGACGAAATTCAGATTTTTCAGCAACCCAGCTACGCACAGGTCCAGGTATGTACTGTTTCTTCTGTGGCACACAAAATGGTTTATTTGCATTGCGAGTTCCTCAGGACGCAAAGAATATATGGTATTTTTGAATCAACATTGTAGATTGCATGTGACAGACTTCTGAAAATAGGTCTTCAGCGACCCATGCTTGCCATAAGAGGCAACTAACGGGATCGGGTGGCAAGGCTTGCTGACTTGGTTGATGCATGTCATTGCATCCCAATTGCTAAGATTGATGCTTGTGATGTCGTTATTATGCTACAAATTTATTGACTGGTATGAAATCTAAACAATATTCAGAGTCACATGTCTGTAGGTGAATTATATTACTGGGCTCGTAGATGGTAACAAAATACTGATTGTAATTTGGGAAAGTTTGCAGCTATCCTTATGTTAAGGGGTTTACTTTGTGCCAAGTGACTGCTTGAATTGGGTTTGTTTGTGTTTCAGAGCTATCAAGTTCAGCAAGCACCTGTCCCCCATGATATGAATAAGCAGCAGCCCGTGGCGGCAGGTCTGATGCCCGCCCCCGGTGTTGCTCCTCAGCAGCAGGGTATATTCCAGCAACAGCAAGCGGGGCTAAGGACCACACAGAGTCCTGTAAGTGTATATTGTCCCCATTGTAGTCTATGTAGGATCTGGGACAAGCAGTGTTGCATGAAACAACCATTGGTCCTTCTGTCCCCATGTACCCGTGAAGATTCCGGGGTAGAATAGGTCTTCAGCAACCCATACTTGCCGTAAAAGGCGACTATGCTTGTCGTAGGAGGCGACTAACGGGATCAGATGGTCAGACTCGCTGACTTGGTTGATACATGTCATCGATCCCAATTGCGTGGATTGATGTTCATGATATTAATCAATGAATTGTCTGGTCCAGACTCAATTATCTACAGACCGCCGTCATATAGCTGGAATATTGCTGAGTGCGGCGTTAAACAACAAACCAACCAACCAACCAACCAACCAATCTGTCCCCATGGGGATTCTGGGATCCATACTCACCTGTGTTTGTCTGTAAGTTGTATAAGGCAACTACCATGGTGGTCAGTCCAGACTTGATTATTTACAGACTGCCGTTATATAGCTACCAGAAATTTTCTGATCATTATTATTAAATATACTTTGAAACAGCTGCACATCAAGGAAATGGTTTATGATGTATAATCCATCTGTTGTTCCAGCAATACTTTCCTGGTAGCCAGCCACAGGGGATGCGGCCCCCGCGCTACATGGGGCCTCAGCCCCAACCAAATCTCACGTACCAGATGCCGTACTGGCAGACCCAGGGCCAGGGTTACCCAGCGGCGAGCGTCATGGTGCAGCAACAAGGGCAGTTAATGGTCAGTGGTCATACCCACCTGCACAACTTGTGCGAGAAAATTTGTATCTTTATCACACAAAGAATGAAAATCATCAAACATATGCTAAAAAATTCTTGTTTGGGGGGATCCTTTGATTTATAAAAACTGGAGACCTTGAGGGTAGAACAAGAACAATGATGAAGTTATTTCAACATCACTTGTAGGAAATGAGTTGGGAATAGTAGGTAAAACCTTTTAAGTTTCTATACTGTACATATTTTTTACTTATCCTGCATTACTCTTTAATGCATATTTTCCTTTTGTGACGAGTAATTAAGGAGTTATACAGGATAAGTATACAAATATAAAAAATATCTAGGATTTGACTAGATTTTGACAGAAAGATCTGCTTAAAACTATTAACTGTTGACATTTATGCTTTTGAGAAGGGAAAAAAGGCTCTAAAATTGGTGATATAGTTTTTGAAAAACTTTCAGGCAAGCTTTTTGTGTGGCACTGGTCACTGACAAACAAAAAGACTTATTAACCTTCCCAAGAACACCTGCGATGTCCAACATTTAAATGTTTTCCATGATGATGGCAGGAGTTAATCATTCCTTTTTGTGTTTCAGTATCCCCCAAGTACTAGAATGCCAACCCCTCAGTATCATCATGCCATTCCAAATTCTCAAACAACCATTCAACAACAGATAGCTGCCACAGCGCAGTATCAAAACCCTCCCACAGCACAGTATGGCAGTGCACCCCAGTTCCAAGTATTCTACCAGGTGTGTTGACATGCTTCCCGATAATCATTTAAATGTTCCTGTGTTGCTGATGTCATGCTTGCTTCAACACATTACTGTGTTAATGACATGAAAATGTGCTGACTCAGGCCTTTGTTTTGCTTGTATTCACTTTGCTGATGTGAACAATTTGTAATGTTGTGATGTAAGTTATATGTCTGGAACACTTTCTGAAATATTGATGTTATTTTGGATTCATATTCCCTTTGCATGAGAAATTACTGAAAAGATCAAATACTTAACAGCTTGACACTGGAAAAACTACTTGTGTCAAATGTCTTTTTCTCGTTAATGTGTTAATATGGAAAATGGTAGTTATTCATGTGAACACAAAAATGATTTTCTCAAAATGTTCCTATTTGAAACACTTTTTCTGTAAGCAATTCTACACATGAAATTGTAAAGTTGCTTTTGTGTAATCTTTTTCTGTTTGTATGTTCCACATTAGAGTGAACAATTGTGGATGAATTTTGAATTGAAAAGTTATATGTAACCATATTTGTCATGAAAATCTACTGGTCCTATAAAAAACATTTTCACTGGTCACAGGCGAAAGCACCAGTACCAGTAGACATCCCCAGACACGAGCGGGTAAGCGAAAGTTAATCAACGTAATATGGACAACCTCTTGCAGTATTTGCAATTAGCATGACTCTGCATTAGGTCATCATAATCACAAGTTTCCAGGTCAGTTTAAAGGTGTGTGGGGTAGCCTAGTGGTTCAAGCATTCGCTTGTCAAGCCAAAGGTCTGGTTTGTTTTCCAGATGGGTACAAAGAAGGGATATATGTATTTATCATGTAATGGGTGGTTTTCTCAGCGGGGATAAAGCCAACGGATAAAAACTTTTGGGGTCATATGTGGATAGAGATGCAATTATCAAAGGTCAAGTAGTGACTACTTTCAGTGTTTACAAACAAACATGGCGTCATCCTTGTCATTGGGCACAGTGACTGAATAAACCATCAGGAATCTGGAGGAACTATCATTATCGAAATATTCTGAAAATCAGTGTCTAACTGTGACATAGCTAAGGCATTTTACAAGTTTTGGCAAATTTGGGGATATAAATTACAAAACAATATGGCGAGGACACTTGCCTTGCAGGATCCGTTTCCATATCTGTGCTTGAAGACCTTTACGGCTTGGAAACTTTTCCCTTAATTAAGACAGTTGGATTTGGCCGAAATATGTCCGAATTGTTACCTTGTTTTTGTTTTGTCCCTGTGTGTACGTCTGAATGCACTTCGTAACGTTATGACAGGACAGGCAGACTGTCAACAAATGTGACGTCTCATACACTACGGATAGAGTAGCTTCCCTTTGATAAGGGGCAGTTACTCTAGCAGACAGACAGATTGATAGCTGCGAAAGGCAAGAAGGACAGTTTGTGAAGGCAATTGTTGTTTTGCCTTCATGTAGTTATGCCACTGTGTAAGAAACAAGTGTATATTGACTGTTGTCTCTGCCCGACTGACACATCACTTACCTTCTGGCTTAATATATATATTAATGCGCAACTTCCAGGAAAACTTGCAATGTTTAGGTAATGTTTGTGAGAGATGGGAAGAGATTTTTCGATCACAGAATTGAAAAATGACATGATAAAATAGCTATCACGCTTGGAATAGACATTGTATTTAGCTTACCTTAGCGGATACACATGATATTTACCATCCCCCAAACACACTTGTGTGATAATCTCCATATATCTAGTAATTTTTCAAGGCCTGTATTCAGCAACAAATGCTGTGAAATCCCAAATTTCAGTTTAAGATACCCCAATTAAATTCAAATAATTAGTCTTGGGGGGAAAATAGAAAACTTCCAACATTTGCCTCCCACGGGCACTTAGTTTAAGATCTGAGATAAATCAAATCCATGCAATGTGTGAATCCTATCACTGGAACCCAGCAACATGATATTGATGGACTGTTGCAAACAACATCCTGAAACAACACTATTTCACTCACCAAACCAATTGTCAAATGTAGGAACGGCAAGAACATGTTTTGCTTATCCATGAACTTCATAGTTCTTATGTATTTTTCCAGCATGGAGACCCATAACACATAATTACCCAATTTAGCTCTTTCATTTTGCATACTCGAATATCTTTACACATCTTTTTTTACTGATCGAATGCAACCATCACTTATTCATAATACTGCACAATCATTCAACATCTCACTTATTTCAACTCTGTCATGTGTCATTCTTATGACTGAGTAAGTCTGTTGAGATACTGGGTTCAAATAGGTCTCCTATGCTGGTCATAAGTCAACTTATAGTAGATCGAGTGGTTAGGCTCAGTGACTTTGCTTGTTTTTGTGTCATCATTCTCCAAGGAAGCTGCATGGATCTTGAGAAAAATATCAATCACTTGATTCTTCGGTCCAGATTATTTACAGACTGGCGTCCCATGGCTGGTATATTACTGAATAACTTTGTTAAACCCAACTCCTCTTTGTTCTCAATAGACATTAGTTAATGGCTCATGAGGAGCGGTCGGGTAGCCTAGTGGTTAAAGCATTCACTCGTCACGCCAAAGACCCGGGTTCGTTTCCTTGACATGAGTACAAAGTGTGAAGACCATTTCTGGTGTTCCCCACCGTGATATAGCTGGAATATTGCTAAAAGCGGCATAAAACCATACTCACTCACTTATGGCTCATGACATGTTGCAATAGATCTTTCATGGCAGAGGAAATTTTCATTCATTGTTTCAAAGAGTGTTGCAGAGTCTATGAGCCAGTACTTGTTTGAAAAACTAATGTTTATCAGATGACCTCAATGGCTGCATGTATGATTTTGGGTACAGTTATTGAATTTGCACACACCCAAATCTATTATTTTGACATGAACCAATAGGCTTGAATACCTCGTAACACATGGCCAAGTGTGTCATAATGTATTCTCTTTGTGCACATTTCGGCAGTAAAAATGCTTCGTGAAACATATCGCAGTTAGTCAGTTACGTAAATGCCATGTGACGTTTGGGCAACTGCTTCTTTATGGCTACCTTGCAAATATTGATTTGTAAAACAAAAGATTATCCACTCTTTGCCATGTCCTGTTTGATTGTGATCTTTGTACCTTGACAGCTTTGATCGATGCGCTTGTGTCGATCATTGGTTTGCCTGTTCCAGGTTGCTGTGATATAGCTGCAATATTGCTGACAACAGCGCAAAACCCATACACTCACTCAATCACTCTCATCAACAGGGGCAGACTGTGCCAATTGCTCAACCTCAGCGACCAGCTTCTGCATCTGGTGTACCACCGGCAACACTACAAAAGCGGGTACGGAACCCAATTCCCATCATCGACCCCAACTCGGGGCAGCAGGTGCAGACGGAGGCAGAGGCAGCTCCCAAGACAACGCCACCTGGTGGCAGTGCCAGGAGTACACCAGTTGGACAACCAGCTCCAGAGGTAGATTGATTGTATGCTTTTAACGGTGTAGTTCCATGTAGCAGTGGTTGTGTGGAGATGCCGAGTTAGAATTGGCTCCCAGCAACCTATTCTGGTTGAAAACACGACTTAATGAGTCAAATGCTCAGGCTTGGTGTCTGGACAAGATTTCATAAAGGCCGGACCAATAAAGATCCGGGATAGAATAGGTTTTCCGAGACCCCTGCTTGCTTTAAAATGCTTGTCGTAAGAGGCGACTTACAGGATCGGGTGTTCAGGCTCGTGAACTTGATTGATACATGTCATTGTATCCCAAATTTGTGGATCGATGCTTATGATGTCACTGAATTGTCTGGTCCAGCTTCAATTATTTACAGACCTCCGTCATGTTGCTGGAATATTGCTGAGTGGGGCTTTAATCAATCATGTATACAGGCCTCCATCATATAGCTGGAATAATGTACAGTGTTACATAAAAATAAAACTTAAATCCATCATAATTTTTTGATGCAAGAAAATGTTAGTCCTAACCTCAGTGTCTTCTGTGCATTCCAGAGTAGCCCACCTCCTAGTGGTGGGGACATAGCTGCACAGTTTGCTGCCCAAGTAGCTGCCACATTACGATCAGGTCACCCTCCATCCAGCCACACACAAGGCCAGGACATGACTGCCAGTAGCCCGCCACTCACAGATCAGCAAAGCTACTCCCAGTCACCAGAACTTGCACAGCCAGACTTTAATCAAGAAGTACAAGAAGCAACACAAAATGAGCAAGCTGTTGAAGACATGTCATCAAATGCTCAAATTGAGAGCTGTGTGGATGAACCCCCACAACAGGTGCCTGTTAATGAACCTATCGTGAAAGAGGCAACCCCGCCTCCCGATAACAGCGAAACGGAAGTGACTGGATCCAGCGTCGACTACGCCCCAGAGCCAAGTAAAGTCGTGGACCAGAGCAGTCCGGTTGATGCTGATTCATTCACAGAACCGTTCCGTGTTGATGTGGAGAACATTACGCCATTTGTGCCCGCTGCTTCACAAGCACCAGCACAAGCACCCACACAGGCTGCTCCAGTACAAGCTCCTACGCCAGTGGCTCCATTGCAAGCTCCAGCACCAGTGGCTCCATTGCAAGCTCCAGCACCAGTGGCTCCATTGCAGGCTCCAGCACCAGTGGCTCCATTGCAGGCTCCAGCACCAGTGGCTCCATTGCAGGCTCCAGCACCAGTGGCTCCATTGAAGGCTCCAGCACCAGTGGCTCCATTGCAGGCTCCAGCACCAGTTGCTACAGTACAAGCACCAACACCAGCTGCTCCAGTACAAGCACCTGTTGCCAAGGAACCAGTTCAGGTTGCTCCCGTTAAAGCACCTGTTCAGGTGGCTGTTGTGCAAGAACCAGCTCAAGTGGCACCGCCAGTGGTGACTCCACCTGTGACTGAAGCTCCAGTAACAGAATCAGACGTTGTTGAGAAGACGGCCCCCACTCCACCCCCTGCCTCAGCTCCCACCCCTACCCCCACTGTTGTTTCTGTGGCAGATATGGCAAAGGAACAGACACCACCACCTGCAGCCACTGAATCAAAAGAGGTTGTGCTTGATAATGGTAAGTGGATTTCTTTATTTATGAAATATTGTTTGACTTTTGGGCTGTAAAAATAAGAATTTTTAAACTTATCCTATCTCACACTGTGCATTTCTTCCTTCTTCTTACGATCCTTGTGTGAAAGCATCCTGGAACAAAGTTTCCAGCTTTTAACTCCATTTCGCCCGAAACCCCAAATGTGGGGTGGGGATCAAACCGCAAACGTCAAGTGCACAGGATTTTAGTACATGACCCATTTGTTTTGGTGGTGACTATGGTGATGTGAGGGGTGTTGATTTAGAAATGGATTTAGAAGCTGGAAACTTTCTTTTAGGATGTTTCCACACCAGGATCAAAAGAAGGAAGAAATGCATAGTGAGATTTTGGCCTAAAGCAGAATAAAATATTTTCATGTGTGAATGCTGTCAGGGCTTCTGCTTGAGAATCAAGTTTTTTCTCTTCTTAGTATTTGGACTTTTTTTAGGGGGATTAGTTTTACCACATTAAGGCCACACATTTTTATTTTTTTGTTTCACGGGCCCTCATATAAGATGTTATATATCAATTCCATGTCTACATCACTATGCAGTTTTAACTCCATGGCAGAACGACTTTCATATAAATAAATAAATGATTGCCATAGCTTTTTATTTCGACTGACCTTGTGTGGAAAATCTGGAATAAATTTGTGAAACATAAACTAAAAAAAGTGTGCCCTAACCATTGGCCATTCTGGCAGTCTTGTAAAAGTATGTTTCTAACCCTGCAGTGGAGTAGTCAAGTTTTTTAATTTGTGTGCTGCTCACACTGAGACCCTGTCATTATTTTTATGGAAAAATGCTAAGGTGGTTTAAAACCATGCCCTCACTCACTCACTTATTCCAGTTCCAAAACTGGGTATGTCACATGCTGCCGTTTATTTATTCTTTTGGCAATAATTACAAATGCTCTTACATTTCATCACAGCAAACTAAAATGGTGATTAAATGGTCAGACTCCATTGTTGGCAGTGTGCCATCATACATGTCATTGATGGCTTTGCTCGTTGCTCTTTCAATCACTTCTTGTCCTGGTCCTATATTTACAGGACACGGATGTGGCTGGAATATTGCTGACTGATCTGTGTTCAAAATTATTCAAGAAAATGACGTTCATGTTCACATATTCATGCCTCTTGTGAGACATCTAAAACAGATGGTTATGATGTGTGACCTGGCTGATAGTGTCATATCATGTCACACAAGGTGTCCTCCTCGCCAACTAATGATTTCTTTGGTCCAGATTGCTTGCCTCTGAAGATGACTATGTTTTCTATACTATACCATGTCATTTGCATTCAGAATATTAACCAGTCCCAAACACTGCACGAACAAACATTAAGTGCGGAAAACGTGTTGCTCCCTATAAGTGACTTTAGTTTTGAGTTGTCGCTACACAGAGCTACGGGCTGCCCCATAGTGGTACCCTAATAGATTGTCAACAACCATTCCAAAATGTACATGAATTATTGAATAGGTCTTCAGCAATGCATGCTTGCGGTAAAAGGCAACCCATGCTTGTCATAAGAGGCGACTAACAGGATCAGGTGGTCAGGCTCGCTGACTTGGTTGTTGCATGTCAATCATGATGTCAATCACTGGAATGTCTGGTCCAGATTTGAGTATTTACAGACCTCTCATATGCCTGGAATATTGCTTAGTGCAGTGGTTAAACAAACAAAACAAAAGGCTAACCTTAAAGACAATTACATGTAGCCTTGTTGCTGGTCTGTATGAAACAACCATTTTAGTTATCTAACAATGGGACTGCCGCTGTGGTCAAGTGATAGAACGTCCACCCGGAGAGCAGAAGGTTGTGGGTTCGATCCCCGGCCACTTCAAACCAAAAATACTTGTTACCCTGCATGGCACTCGTAATATGGGAGCAAAAACAAGGACTGGTTGGCTCAGTCGGTATACTGTGTCTGTAGGAACACACACGCACATGCATGGCTATATACCTGCAATGGTATATCTTGCAACCTATTGTTTGTTGTGGTGTAACAATTAATCGAACCCATGATGCATTACAGTCACTGTCAATGATATTTAAGACAATTTAAGGCCAAAATAAGTCTTGTTAATCCGACAATCGGCTTTATCCAACACAACTAATGGAAACCCGTTCATCCAAAAGTCTCACACTCCGACGAAATCACTCATTAATCTGTCTTGTATAACCAACAGTGATTGGTTGGTTTGTTGTTTAACGCCGCACTCGGCAATATTCCATCTATATGACGGCGATCTGTAAATAATCGAGTCTGGACCAGGCACTGCAGTGATTAATATCATGAGCATTGATCCACTCAATTGGAATTGATGACATGCATCAACCAAGTCAGCGAGGTTGTCCACCCGATCCCGTCAGTCGCCTCATACAAGCATTGTCACCTTGCTGGGTTGCTGAAGACCTATTCTACCCTGAATCCTCACGGGATCAGCGTATTCTGTGGTCATCTGCATGCGAGTACACAGCCCATGTTTTGATGCAAGAAAAGTTGGCTGGTATGGCTGCAGAGATAAATTTGCTTAAAGGGGAAGTGTACACGCAAAAATCACTTTCTTTCTTTTTCTAAACAAAACGCAATTTTAGAATTAATTAGTATCTGTGTTTGAAAATATACACTCATTTTTTTCACAGTGAAAGTAGGAAGCTCACAATAGTGTGAAAATGATATGCCGTTATGAGGCCTTCGTTTTTCGAGCTAAACAGGCCTGAGTTATCCCCCTTAGATTATGACGTATTTGGTGCCAATTCAACTGGGTCCCTGTCTATTCTCAACGCAAAAGATATCAAGTACCAGTTTGCGGTAAAACAACATGGCCTACGACACACTCCGGCGCAGTGGTGACTCAGCATAACACTATGCTGGCTGGCATCTGAGACGCTAGAATCACACACCTAGACCTACACCATGTGAAGCGGCTCTAACAAAGCATGATGACGTCATAATGTTTATCAATTGGCACCAATGACGTCATATTGCAAGGGGCATAAGCCATGGTGTTTTTGTTGTGGAAATAGAACACTTGGTAAATGTGAAAAATATAAATCGTTTTAATGCGAAAAATATGTTAATTAATTGTGATATTTTAATATTTTTGTCTATGACACTTTTAGGTTAACACTTTTAATGTGGAAAAAGTACAAGAAAAATAGGTTCTTTCCGTGTGAACTTGCCCTTTAATAAACAATTAATGCTTCTAACAAACAAAACAGTTTATCACATGCTTATATTATATTATATTATATAATATATATAAGTTTTGGGGGATTTTATTAATTTTTTGGGGGGGAAACAGGTATTTGCAGTATGTTAGTGAAAAACCTGCTTTCAGGAGAAATTTGAGCTTTGCCATATTGAAGATTTCTGTAGGTTTATCTGGAGTGCAGTGGCATAAAATACTGAAAAGCTATGTTGCAACTCAAGAAAAACGTTTTTGTTTGGGTATTATTTGCAAACTTTGTAAAAGAGAAATACTTTGAAATGCTTATCCTTCTCACCTTAATATCAGCCTGTAGAGTGTTTTCCCAGCTGACTAAATCACACATTGTCAACCAACCATCCATCACTGTTCCACAAATACAGGATTTTCAACCTCAGGCTTGCATCTTGCATGAGTATGTACAGGATTTACTCTAGTTAATCTAGTTTCACACCTTTCAAGCATTCAATGAGCCACTGTATGTGGAATTCTTCACAAAAAGTAACATGTTTAACAGTTTATGGAATAGATAATTCTACAGGGAGTTTCAACATGAGATGGACTTACGAGATGGACCCGATGAAGATCCAGGGTAGAATAGGTCTTCAGCAAACCATGCTTGCTGTTAAAGGCGACTGCTTGCTGTTAAAGGCAACTATGCTTGTTGTAAGATGCGACTTACGGGTGTCGGGTGGTCAACTTGGTTGATGCATGTCATCAATCCCAATTGCGTGGATCGATGCTCATGATATTCATCACTGGATGATCTGGTCCGATTATTTACAGACTGCCGTCATATAGCTGGAATATTGCAGAGTGCGGCGTTAAACAACAAACCAACCAACCAACTTACGAGATGGTATCCACAGAAAACAGTCACTGATAATTGGGTGTTACTATTTTATGAAACCAAAATAAAAAACAACAAAATAAGCTGACCTATGAAATCAGCATCATTGAGAGGAATATGTTGTATCAAGAAAGATTTCATATCATTACGGTCTACACTACATCTGCTTGACAAGGTGACTATTAACCAAGTTGGTGGCCTTCATTCAGATTGATTTTGAATATTTCCCATCATAATTTCATTTGGTCTTTTCAAGTGCAGTTCAGGCAAGAAAAGGGCATTTTATTCCCATAGACTTGAAAGTCAAGTATCGGTTTCACATATTAGCTTATTGCTACAATTGCTTGTGAAAAGAAGCCCTGAAATGCTATAGGTTTTACTTCATAAATGCTACGTGTTTTTTTCAGTTTGTCAATGTAGTATTGTAATTAGTATTGATGCCATCATAAGAAACGACAAATTGTATGAAGCACCCTGAAAATATTTTGTGTAGTCATTTTAAACACTTGTTTTTGTACACTTGTACATCTGGCACACCTTTGCAAATGTCACTGGGAATGTCAGCATGTTATTTAACTGACAGGAATTGTCCCTTGACTCGGAGAATATTTAGTATTTACATATTACCCCAAATGCAAGATTGTGCCTTACTTTGAAAGAGATCATTTTACTGGGAAAACAACATAATCTTGATCACTTTAGCTATTGCATACCTGATATGGAAAGTTTGGAAACATAGGAAGAATTCCCTTTACAAAGGGCTTATTATTCCTATTTCAAAGTCCATTGCACCACAGACCAAAATACCTTGAATGGATACGTATAACTCTTGAAACTGCTCCTGTACCAATATTTTAGGTGTACATGTATTTGAAAGATTGATTTTTAGAAATCTGTTTTTTTGTTTAATGCTGCGCTCGGCA